CACAAATAATGAATCATGGAACACTACATCTAAAACTAATGATGTAATGTATGGAGATTAACATAACAATAAAATTAAAAAAACAAAACAAAACAAAGGAAACAACCAAACTAAAAGGCAACCTTTGGAATGGGAGAAGATATTTGCAGTAGGCATATCTGATGAAGGGTTAGCATCCAAAATATATAAAGATCTTATAAAACTCAGCAGCTGAAAATGAATTATCCCATTAAAAAATGGTTAGAAGTCATGAATAGGCATTTGTCCAAAGACGACATACAGATGGCCAACAGACACATGAAAAGATGCTCAACATCACTCATCATCAGGGAAATGCAAATCAAAACTACCATGAGATATCACCTCACACCTGTCAGAATGGTTAAAATCAACAACACAAGAAATGACAAGTATTGGTGAGGGTGTGGAGAAAGGAGAATCCTGTTGCACTGTTGGCGGGCATGCAAACTGGTATAGCCACTGTGGAAGACAGTATGGAGGTTTCTCAAAGAGTTAAAATAAACTCCCCTGTGATCCAGCAATGGCACTACTAGGTATTTATCCAAAGAACACAAAAATATGAATTCAAAGGGATACATGCACCCTGATGTTTATAGCAGTATGATCTACAACAGCCAAATTATGGAAACAGCTCAAGTGTCTATCAGCTGATGAATGGATAAAGAAGATGTCTTTTCAATTTCTTGATGGTGTTTTTCTTTTCTTTTTTGTTATTTTTACTGTTTTAAAAGGAACATAACATAAAATTTACCATCTTAATCATTTTTTTAACTGTACAGTTTAGTGGTATTAAAGACATTCACACTATTGTGTAGACATTACTACTATATAACCCTATAACTCCTTTCATCTTATAAATCTGAAATTTTATGCCTATTAAACAGTAACTCCACATTCTCCCTCCCTCCCAGTCCCTGGTAACCACCATTCTGCTTTCTGTCTCCAAATTTGAAGCACAAATTTTTAAAATTTTGATGAAGTCCAATTTATCTTTTTTTTGTTGTTGTTGCTTGTGATTTAGTATCTTATCTAGAAAATGGTTGCCTAATCCAGGGTCATGAAGATTTACTACTGTTTTCTTATATCAGTTTTATAATTTTAGCCCTTACATTTAGATTTCTGATACATTTTGAGTTAATTTTTGTATGGTGGGAGTTAGGGGTCCAACTTCATGCAAAAAAATAATGTGGATATCCAGTTGTCTCAGCACCATTTGTTGAGAAAACCATCCTTTAACCAACAAACTGTCTTGGCACCCTTATTGAAAATCAATTGACCATAAATGTAGGGAGTTAGTTCTGGACTCTCAGTTCGATTCTGTTGATTCATATGTCTATCCCTATGTCGGTAACCTACTGGCTTTATTATTGTAACTTTGTGCTAAGTTTTTTGTTTTTTTTTTAATCATGGTAAAGTACACATAGCGTTTGCCATCTTAACTATTTTTTTTAAAGATTTATTTATTTTTTGGGGGGGCAAGTGTCTATGCACACGTGAGCAGGGGGAGGGACAGAAGGAGAGGGAGAGAGAGACTTAAGCAGAGCTTAAGAGCATGGAGCCCGACGCAGGGCTCCATCTCATGACCCTGAGATCACGACCTGAGCCAAAACTAAGAGTCGGATGCTTAACTGACTGCGCCACTCAGGCACCTCTCATCTTAACTATTTTTAAGTGTACAGTTCAATAGTGTTACTCACATTGTTGTGCAACCAATATCCAGAAATTTTTCATCTTGCAAAACTGAAACCCTATATCCATTAAATAATAACTCCCCATTTCTCTCTTTTCCCAGTCCCTGGCAACCACCATTCTGCTTTCTGCCTCTATAAATTTGACTACTTTTGGTACCTCATATAAGTAGAATCAGACAATATTTGTCTTCTTGTGACTGGCTTATTTCAGTTAGCATAATGTCCTCAAGTTTCATCCATGCTGTAGCAGGTGACAGAATTTCCTTCCTTTTAAAGATTGACTAATATTCCATTATATATGTATGCCACATTTTGTTTATTCATTCATCTATCAGTGGACACTTGGGTCGCTTCCATCTTTTGGCTATCGTGAAGAATGCTGCTATGAACATGAAAGTGGAGATAGCTCTTTGGGACCCCACTTTTAGTTCTTTTGGATATGTACCTAGGAATAGAACTGCTGTATCATATAGTATCATTTTTAACTTTTTGAGGTCCACTATTTGCCATAGGAGCTGCACCATTTTACATTCCCACCAACAGTGCAAAAAGTTTCCAATTTCTCCACATCCTTGTCAACACTTGTTATTTTCTGTTTCCTTGATTGTGGGCATCCTAATTGGTGAGGTGGTACATTATTGTGGTTTTGATTTGCATTTCCCTTATGTTACATGATGTTGAGCAACTTTTTATATGCTTATAAAAAGCATTTGTTTATTTTCTTTGGAAAAAAGTCTCTTCAAGTTCTTTGCCTATTTTAAAATTGAGTTGTTTGTAGTTTTCATTGTTATTGTTGTTGTTGAGTTATAGGAGTTCTTTATATATTCTGGATATTAATGCCATATCATATATATGATTTGCAAATATTTTCTCTTACCCCATAGGATCCCTGTTCGCTCTATTGATTGAATCCTTATAATTCCATTTGCTTCTGTAAAGTAGGTGGTGATATTCCCTCTTTCATTCTTAATTTTAGGAATTTGAATCCTTTCTCCTTTATTCTTGGTTAGTCTAGGTAAAGGTTTGTCAATTCTGTTGATCTTTTCAAAGAAGAAATTTTTAGTTTGTTGATTTTCTCTATTGTTTCCCTATACTCTATATCATTTATCTGTGCTGTAATTTTTGTTCTATCCTTCTGCTCGTTTTGAATTTAGTTTGTTCTTTGCCTAGTTTGTTAAGGTGGATGGTTAGGTTATGATTTGAAATCTTTTTTCTTTTCATGCAGGCATTTTTAGCTATAAATTTCCCTCTAAGCATTTTTGAAGTTAGTGAATATTTATGCAGTTAAACATTAAAAATGAACTCCAGGGCGCCTGGGTGGCTCAGTTGGTTAAGCGACTGCCTTCGGCTCAGGTCATGATCCTGGAGTCCCGGGATCGAGTCCCGCATCG